GAGTCAGGCTGTGGGTGACAGGAAGAGGAACACTCTCCCCAGTCCCTTTTGCAAACAACTGGTGCCTGCAGTGGGTTAGTGTTGCTTGGGGGCCGCCTGCTAGCCAGTCTGGGTCTCTTTACTCAAAGCCTCAGTTCGTTCAGGAAAATCACAGGTGTGTGGCTGCTTAGCAACCTGGGCCAAGTCCAGTTCTCGTTATTGAGGATCTAGGATCTCACCCGCTCCCCTCCTAGCCTCCTTGCAGACAGGATTGACCCTGTGGGGCTGCAGGGCACTGTCCCTTAGTTCAAGGTACAAAAAGGGAGTTGGGGGAAGGGGGAGAAAATTCTGGCTGGGATCCTTCCCCTGGCCTGGGCATGAGGTGGCGCTGGGGATCCACGGAGTCGTCCCTGGTTGCCGCTTGGGTGAGGGTGCTGCGCAGGGACCATGCAGGTTCCAGAGACCGGTATGGAGAAGCCTGGCCTCCTCCTGCCAGCCACCTCCCTACGAAGCCACCCGCGGGCCTTACCTGCTGTAGCAGGTCCAGCTCCAGCTGCTGCAGTTCTAGGAAGAAGCGCCCAGGGCCAGCTGTAGCCCTTATAGTATGCAGAAGGGGAGTGTCGTCCTGGCAGGCTGGGGCGGGGTGGAGAGGCTCCTTCCTGGGTGACTGCTTAAGTCTCAGTTTGCAGGGCTAGCAAAATGAAAGCAGAAGCTTCCGCGGACTCTAGGGGATCCGTACTCGGTTCTAAGCCTTTCTCTCTCTCAGAGACCTAATAAATTATTACTTCCTGAGCTGTGGGAATGGCCCGAGAGGATAAATGTCACCTCTTACAGGTCAGACGATTCCCTTTTGAGTTCCACTGAAACAGTGCAAAACTCTAAGAGTCCTTTTTGTGGGCTTGTGGGTAGAGGTGGAGAAGCATATTTGTGGCCTCTTGGGGGAAAAGATCCCCTTGGATAAGGTAGCAGAGTGCCAGTTCCAAGCAACATCCTTGACTGCTCTGCCTTTCAGGTGCCAAGACTAGTTCAATGCCCACACCAGGCTGAAGAAGCCCCCAAGCCACCATTCTCGACTATTAAACTACAACTTTGAACACATCTCCTCCCCATCGAACTAAAATTAGAATTAACTTGCACAGGCCATCATTACCTTGAAGGACTCTATTCTCCCTTGAAGTGTCTGGATCTAGAATGTCACAGACCGTTTCACTGCTTCTTGGCTCTCTTCAGAAGGACAAAGAAAGAGTCCTACTGTTTGTTAGTGAGGGTCACACCTCGTGGGTTGGTGTTTGTTGGACCTGGGAACTTATTCCTAATGAAAATGAGAAAGGGAGATGGGGAGATGGCTCGGTTGGTAACTCCTTTACCCATGCTTGAGAACCCGAGTTCAGATCTCTTAGTGCTGAATTATTAGTGCTGGGGGTAGGGTAGGACAAGCAGATCCTTCACAGCATCTCAGTGGCCAGCTAGTCTTGTTGAGCGGGTGGGCTACTGGATCAGTGGGAGACCTTATCCCCCAAAATAAGGTGGAGAATGATAGAGGCAGACTCACAATGTTACCTCTGGCTTCCATATGCACACATATCATGGACCTGCACACACACACACACACACACACACACACACACACACACACGTGTACACACATACCATTTTCTGCCCCCCCCCCAAAAAAAAAAGCCTCACACCAACAAGAGAATAGAGTTTACAGCTGCCATAGTCAGGTTGCTATGGTTTGATCAGATCTGGCAACTTCACTGCTATTTCCAAAAAAACTGAAGAGCCCCCTACTTGACAGCAGGCCAAAAAGGCTAAAATAAAAATCCAAAGACTAAAATTCAAGACACGGGGCAGGAGGTACAGCTCCATGGGAAAGCACTTGTCAGGTTCCATTCCCAGCACAAGCCAAAAGAAAAGGATAACAGTGCTCTGAAAATTTTTTTTTCTTGATACTTTGAGTTTGTGTTCACCTGAACTCTAACACATTTAGATCAAAACCACTTCATATAAGTGTACATATATATATATATATATGTGTGTGTGTGTGTGTGTGTGTGTGTGTGTGTGTGTGTGTGTGTAATTGGAAAAAAATATGACCTTTGTGTTGGGTCTCAAAGAAACTCTGGACAAATGGTTAACTGTGGTGCCTATTAGCATACCAAAGAGAATGCTGGTCTCTAGGCTTAGTACCAGAGGCTCCTCTCAGCTCTTCTTAGCCTGCCCCCTACCCTAAACCTCTCCAGCCCAGGGTTTCTCTTCCCTTCCCTTCCCTTCCCTCCCCTCCTCCCCTTCCCTTTTCACCCCCCCCTTTCCCTGCCCTCCCCTCCCCCAGGTTCTCTTTCCTATATAACCCTGTTACTTTCAGCCATGCACTCTCTTGGTTCTCTTGCCTCTTGGTCCTTCCTCTTGCCTGCCCCCTCCTCTCTCAATTCCCTGCCCCTATGACACAGGTCAGTCTACTGGCCATGTTTAGCTCACTTGAAGCAGCCATGTACTCATTTCATTTGCTTTACTCATCAATCTAGTTCAGTAAGGAAGTCACATTCTGTCCAAACTTGACAGCTGTGATAATGTCTACCATTACCACGACCAGGTGGCCCTGGTGGTACTGAGGGGTCTGAGCACCTTGACATCCCTTGTTTCCATTGCCCACTCATGGGATCCCATCGAAGGAAGGCATCATCACCAGGGTGGAGTCAGAGCTCCTTTCTGGAGCACTGGAGGACCTGAGCTACCAGCAACCGCAAGATGTACACTCTACAGGGGCAGAGGTCAAAGAATGGCTGGTATACATACCAAAGCATGGTAGTCAGGAGCTATCCTGTCCACCTCCACATACAAGCTCAGTATGTGCTGCAGAGTACTTCCTTCTACTGGAAGTGCAGGTTTGATGTCCATGTGCCCTAGTCAGATGCTACCACCGACTAGTAGGCCATTTGAGGTCCCATCTTCAGTTGCTGTTGGAGCCATGTTCCATCCTTTAATAATCCCATTGATCTGAGAGTGACAGGATATGCAGATTTATTCTGTGTCATGGATGTGAATGCACTGCTATGTTGCTTGGACATTGAAGGATGCTTCTTTGTCCCAGTGAAGGAAGCCCCCCGGGAGATCTGAACTTACACACAACATAGTTCTTTTAAGGGTGGCCATGAAGTCCCAAACTCCACACAAGTGACCTGTGTATGTCCCCATTGAGCAACAATGTCCCCACACAGGGATCCTTGGACAGTCCATTCATTCAGCTGTCACACTGGCCAGGCATCCAGGCTGTTGGCAATGGCATGGGAGCCAGTAAAGATGCAGCCTGGTGTGTTGGTAGAGGTGGCCAGCATGGCCTGAATTATGCAGGGCCTGTTGGGTAGATTGTTTATGTCCATCTAGGTCAGAAGATAGCCACAGAGTGACCAGATGGCAGCCATGCCCAGAGCACCCACACGATGGCAGTTTTACAGAGCCATCAGTGGGCATACCTCTGAGCCCTGGACCTTAAACCACAGAAGGAGCCAGACCATCCATTACAGGTCACTCCTCGGTCCCTGCTAAATACACCTGCAGAGCCTATTGATCCCTTGGTATCTCATCTGGGTCCAATCTTTAATATACCATTTCCATTCAGCAACTGAATTCTGTTGTGCCTATCTGTTTTAACCCAATTGTGCTGTATATCAAAATACCCAAGACTTGGAGGACTATAAACAATGAAAATTTGTCTGACAGCTCTGCAAGGTCAAGTTGCCAGCAGATTTGCTGTCTGCTTTCAATGTGGTGCCCATGAAGATGGTGAGATGGTTCAGTGGGCCAATATGCTTGCCACCAAGCACCACTAAGGACTTGAGTTTGAAGCTTGGAACCCACATAGTAGAGAAAGAAATCCGTCCTCTGACCTCTGTGTAGGGGCTACAGCGTGCACACCCATGCCCCCCCCCCGTTTAAAATTCACCTTGTTGCTGTGTACTCAAAGATGGAAAGTGGAATCACAAAAAGGACAGAATGCCTCTTTTAAGGGTCTCAATCCCACCCACACTTTTTTAATACTGTTAGAAGATTAAGTTTCAATATGAAATTTAGAAACAAAACAAACACGCAAATAACAGTCCCCTTGCATCAGTCTTGGTCTCATCAAACTCATGTCTACTAAAGTTAGGATATGGTTGGCGTGTGTCCCCTGAGCATAACCCCCATTGTGAGTTATTAGAAGGTAGAAACTTCATGTGTGGTGTTTGGGAGGTGGGGGCTTCGAGAAGTGAATAAGAACTTCGAGGCCAGCCTAGTCTACAGAGTGAGTGCCAGGATAGGCTCCAAAGCTACACAGAGAAACCCTGTCTCGAGAAACAAAACAAAACAAAACAAACAAACAAAAAGAATACGTTAGGTTCTCAGGGTGGGGACCCCTGAGTGAATACTAGAATACCACTCCCATGACCACTAGGTGGCGCGCACGCCCCAGCTCTTAAGTGCTATTTGAGTCCAGTGCTTGTGACTTTGCCAGGCTGCCCCTGTACCTTAGCTGTTAGTTCAGCAGCTCTGGAATCTTGGAATCTTACCCTGTGATGCGGTACATTTCCTTGGGCGTCGTCTCAGATGCCGAGCCGCGAACCCTGAGAATTCATGGTTATCCAGCCTCAAACGTTTTATTATAATAACATAAACGGACCCTCTCCCCTTCACATACAAAATAAATTCATTCCATGCCCCCAACTTGATTCTAGTATTACCAAAATCAGATATGAGATTCTAAATATTACTCTTAGTGAGCCTGTGAAATCAAACAAGCCAATTTCTTTCAAAATACAATGAGACCAGCTTAGGACAGACATTCCTTTTTTAAGAAATCAGTGACAGGCGAAGAAAAAGAAGTGGTAGTCTCCACAAACGTCCAAAGCCCAGCGTTACAAGCACTGTGACAGTCTGAGGCTTGAGAAGAAGCGCGTCAGACCTCCCTGGTTCCATCTGCCAGGCATTCAGGGCAGGCGGGGTAGTTGGGAGTCCAGGGCTCTGGAGGACTCCATCCCTTGACCACTAGGTGGAGCTCACGAAGCAGCTTTTACGGGCCTAGTCCAGTGTTTTGTGGCTTTCTGAGACTGCAGCTGCACTTTATAATGTTCTGCAGTCCAAAATCTTGGAAGAGACCCAACCTTTAGTTCTGTGAAGCATCTTCCTTGCGGACACTCTACAGTGGCACAACCACCCGGCTCCAGTAGGCTTTCCTCCGTGGTGGCTCCACCCCTCCCGCCACTCTCTTTCTAAGCAGGTCCTGGGAATTCCTTGAAATCCAGAAGACCGTGCCACACTGCACCTGGCTGGCCTGAGACACCTTGACTCAGCACCAAAGCTTTCCCGAAGGGCAGCAGAACCAAGGAGGGCCACACTGGAATGCGGAAGCAGCTGAGGTATCCCAAGCCCCATAGCTCCCTGGGTCCCTCCCTTGAAATTCTTCTGCTTGAGTAATAGGGTCTGTGATGGGCATGGCAGTTGGAATAATCCTTGTGATGACTTTGACTCATTCGTCCTTGCAGTAGTGATGAATAGCACCTGGCTTCTGGCCATGTTAATCTCTTTATCAAAGGTTGGTTTGGGGCACACCCTTTATCATCTTTCCTGGGCATGTACTTTCTAGCCTACCTAACCCCCTCTTTCTTTCTTTTTTTTTCTTTATTTTGACTTTTTTTTTTTATTAATGCCAATTTTTAAAAATCCAGAAAGATAACTATCTGGTCTCTGTGAAGAACTTTCTTTCATGGCACTGTTCCTTTACAACGACCTTCCCCTCACCCGCGGCCATGCTGTGGGCTTCCTCTTCTTCAGTTACACACTGCAGGGTTCTGAGCCAGGGCCTCACCCTGGATTTTCTCATTCATGAGTCAAATTCATTTTCAATCCACTGCTTAGAGGGATCGTATTTTTTTCTGTTCCATGAAGAGGACTTCTTTGTTCACAATTGGATCATAATGCAGAAGAGTCAGCTTCTCTTGGTGTCGGCTTCTCTTGTGGTTGAAGGAGAAAACTATCCCAGCTTGGCTCACTAACCTCACCAGAATGGTTTTTGACTTGCTCTTGGCAAAAGAGACGGCAGAAAGCAACATGGCATCAGCCCTGGTAATCTATCCGCGACGGGCCTAAAACCCCCTCTTTCCCTCAATCTCTCTCTCTCTCTGTCTCTGTCTCTCTCTCTCTCTCTCTCACACACACACACACACACACACACACACATCTCTCACAAATCTCTTACACATCTTATACACACATCTCTCTTACACACACATCTCTCTCTCTTACACACACACACACACACACACACACACACACACACACACACACACCCAGAGTGACATCACACCTGACTTCTCTTTTGATTGTAAATTCTGTCTTTAGCTTGTTTCCGTCTTTTATTATACGTTAAGCAATCAAGTACTCTTAACAATTTTCTCAGAGTTTTTGTTGTTTTCATTTCCACCAAATATCTTAGTTCATTGCTTTTGCATCCTATCACCCACAAAGCATCAGGGTATGAGCCTAATTCTGTCAAGTTCACTGTCACTTTGTGAGAAGCCAGTCTTTCCATGGGTTTCCCACACAGTTTTCCTCGTTTCTATCTTAGATACACTCAGAACCACCATCACCTTCCATGTTTCTGCCAACATTTAGATCTATGGCATTTAAGAACTCTCTCAAAGGGCTTGGATCTTCCCGACAGCTCTCCCTTTCTGATCTGTCACCTTTGTCATCCTTGATGCTCCATCAATAGAAATCTAGAGGCGTTCTATTGTGCATCTCAAACTCATCCAGCCTCTGCCACCGCTCACAGCCAAATCCATTGTCATGTTTGCTTCTATTAATCCTCTCAAACTCATCCAGCCTCTGCCACCGCTCACAGCCAAATCCATTGTCATGTTTGGGGGTGGTTGCTGTAGCCACAGTACAAACATGAAGCTAATGTCTTAGTTTGTGATGCTGTAACTAAATAATGAAATGGAGTAGTTTTTTGTTTTTTTTTTAATTATTTCTGGACCGGGCAGTGGTGGCACACGCCTTTAATCCCAGCACTCGGCAGGCAGAGGCAGGCAGATTTCTGTGAGTTTGAGATCAGTCTGGTCTACAAGAGCTAGTTCTAGGACAGTCTCCAAAGCCACAAAGAAACCCTGCCTCAAAAAAGAAAAAAAAAATGTTTCTCTCACTTTCAGAGCCTGAAGGCTTAAGTTCAAGGTGTTGGGAGGTTCTATGTTTGGTGACAGCTTCTCTCTTCTTCCAAGATGGTGCCTGCTTGCTGAATGCTCCAGAGGAAGTAACATCATCCTCACAGAGCAGAGAGTGCTCCAGAAGAAGGGACATCATCCTCACAGAGCAGAGAGTGCTCCAGGGGGAGGGACATCATCCTCACAGAGCAGAAGAGATGAAAATGTCAACCAATGCAAAGCCTCTGACTTAGTTAGGGTTTCTACTGCTGAGATAAAACACCACGATAAAAGCAACTTGGAGAGGAGATTATTTCGGTTTCCACTCAGGTTACAGACCATCACTAAGGGAAGTCAAGACAGGAGCTCAGGGCAGGAACTGAAGCAGAGGCCATACAGAAGTTGTCGCTTACTGGCTTGCTTTCCATGGTACATATTAAAAATAATTTTCCATGCAATATATTCTGATCATGGTTTCCCCTCTCTGAAGCCCCCAGACCCTCCCTCAACCATCCACCATCACACCCTTTTCTCTCTCTTTAGAAAAATAAACAAAATTCAAACAAACCAGAATTAAAAAACAAAACAAAGAAACACACACAGAGACACACACACACAACTCAAAAAATCACCAAATCAAAAACTATAATATGCAAGTGAAAGGCTGGTAAGGAAAAAACAAGCTCCAATAAAGACATATGACACACATAGTCTATAAAAATACTATCGAGTTCATTTTGTGTTGGTCATCTACTGCTGGGCATGGGGCCTACCATTAAGTGCGGCTATTATAACAAGTATTTTCTCAATCCATGTTCCCTCTACCCAAATAACCCTAGCTTATATCACACTGACAAAACACTAACCAGGGAAACCCTCTAAAGGGGCCCTGATCCCACATGTGAGGGATCCCTCCACCACTCCACGAGTCCTCAAGGACCCCAGCTCTTAATAATACCATACTAGTGGCTGAATATCATCAGTATATGGGTTTTGAGTGGACGACCTCTGAACAAAGTACATCTCCTAGGCTATGTGGGAACACAACTTCCATCCCATTCTGCCCTTTCTCTCAGCTGCTACAAGAAGCTTCCCTGACCTTGGGCTGCTAGAAGATTTCATCTATAGCCCTGTCATCTGGGAGAAACGTGTGGGTATTGCCATATGCCCCATCCTGCCAGTCTTCCTGGCACATCTTGTCCTATAATATCACTGAAAACACCAATTCTCTGGGACTTTCCTCCTATTATTCCCTAACTCTAATTGCAGTGTTTTTCTCTTACCCCAGAGGGATGAGTTGTGAAACCCGCTCCCTCGGGGAGGATGTCAGAAACTACAAACTCCTCACAAGCCCTGAGTGATCATGGTAGTGGAGCTGGTAACCAAGATGGTGACCAAGTGGCTGAGAGGTGACTAGTGTCCACAGCGTGGCCACTCTGGACCAGGAAATAATGCATGTCCTGGGCGAGATAATGAGGTAGTGTAAAATTCCATCACAATACTCAAAGTAGCACAGGGTGGATTAGCTTGGGATTTCCGGACTTCTCCAGTTGGTATATTTGGAGCATGGTTTGCTGTGGGTAACTGAAGTCATGAAAAGGGACACTACTGGGCTTAGCCACTGCTACTGCCCAACTGGTGAAAGCAGGAGTGATTTACTCTTAGCTGTGTCTTGACCTTCACATGTGCCCAACACCCATTGCTCACAATTCCCACAGACACCTTTACAGTCTTTCCTTCGCTCTTTGAAAGCATTTTGTATTAGCTTGTTCTCCTCACATTCAGTTTAGAAACTGTCTCGCGGGGACTTGTGACACTTTAAATTGATGAAGAATTATGAGTCTCACAGTAGTGTTTTGCTAAATAGTGAAGTGTGATTCTTTTTCAAACTCAGCCTATATAATGCAAACTAATGGTTTTCATTATTACATTTTCATCATACTTCACTCAGATTGACACCTGCTTTACTGTCTCTTGTCTCTGTTGGTGGGAACATGGGTCCTCCTTCCCAATAGTCACTCTGCTTTCATGTCTTAAAAACAAATCTAGGTTCCACATTGAAGGAAAATGCTGTATTTTTCTTTCTGAGACTGGTTTATTTCACTTAACATGATGATCTCAGTTCCATTCATTGTCTTGCAAAAGACAGAATTTCCTTCTTCTTTACAGCTAAATAAACAGCATTATGAAGACACACCACAGGAAAAGTGGCTGTAAAGGCAAATGATTTCCATGACTTTACTCTCTGGATAATAATGTTTAATTTTATTACATTTTAACTAATTGTGTGTGGGTGTTCAAGTATGTGAGCACACCCCAGTGTGTTCACCACATATAGTGAACAAGAGGAGATCAGAGTCCTTGGAGAGGTAGAGTCTTTTCTTTTACCATGTGGGATCCAACCCAAGTTGTCAGCCTTGGTGACAGGTACCTTTACCCACTGAGCCATCTCACTGGTCCCTACTATATTTTATTTCAGACAAAAATAACTCCAAATCGAAACATAGTTTACTATAATCCATAAGTACTTCAAGTAATGTGAAATATTAACACTTAAAAATGAATTTTGTATGTCATAGTCTATATTTATATATTAAAGAGAAATGTGAAAATCAACTTAATACTTGTCTAAATAGGTATTGAACCTTTTTTTCTTTTCCTTGTTTGTTTTGTGGTACTGAACATGGAATCCAGGACCTCACACATGAACTGCCTCTGAGCTATAGGCCAGCCCCTTTTAACTTGTTTTAAATAACTTATTTTTTCCATTTTTATTTAAATTCTTTAATTACTATCATATCTACATATCCATCCCCCCGTTCCCTCGCCCTCCCATCCTCCCGTGTTCCCCACCAGCCCCCCCAACCCATCCCCCAACTCTTCTAGGGATAGTGAGGCCCTCCACCAGGGACCTTCAAAGTTTGTCATATTATTTGGGGGAGGGCCTAGGCCCTCTTTGCTGTATCTGGGCTACAATAGTATCCCTTCATAGGGAATGGGCGCCCAAAGTCCATTTGTGCTCTAGGGTTAAAGACTGGCTCTGCTGTTAGAGGTCCCATAGACTGTATTGGCCGCCTAGCAGGCAACCACATTCAGAGGGCTTGGTTTGGTCCAAGACCAAACCTTTATGACTGGGGTCTCCATGCTCTCACTAGGTCAGGTCAACTGTTTCTACCAGTTTCTGCAGCACCATCTTGACTCCTCTGCTCATCCCTCCTTCCTCTCCACAACTGGATTCCAGGAGTATGGTTCAGTGCTTTGCTGTGGGTGCCTGTTTCTGTTTTGAACAGCTACTAGATGAAGGCTCTAGGAATGGTAACCAAGATAGACATCAATCTCATTATAGAGGAAGGGCATCAATGGCATCTTCTCCACCACTGGATTCTTAGTTGGGGTCATCCCTGTGGATCCCCTAACATTTCCCCTGTGCCAGACCTCTCTCCATACCTGTACTGTCTCCCTCTATCAAGGCATCTCCTTTCTTGCCCTCCTCTACTCCTCCCCTATCTCAGTCCTTTTGTTCTCCTCCCCCCCCTTCTTCCCTTCTCACCTCCTTTCTCTCCACTCCCCCTCCCACTTTGTTCAGGGGGTCTTGTCCTCCTCCCCTTCTTCAAGGGACTATGCAATCTTCTCTTGGGGTCCTCCTTGTTTCCTAGCTCCTCTGGCAGTGTGGATTGTAGACTGGTACTCCTTTGCTCTATATGTAAAAATCATATATGAGTGAGTACATTCCATGTTTATCTTATTGTGACTGGGTTACCTCACTCAGGATGGTTTCTTCTAGTTCTATCCATTTGCCTGAGAATTTCAAGATTCCATTGTTTTTTTCACAGTTTAATATTCTGTTTAATACTAATATATACATATGTGTTTCCATCAAATTCACCCCTCATTCCATTTACTTCTCTGTTCTCTCAGCCCCCACCTTTCTCTCCTAACTTCATCTCTGAACATAGTTGAACAGATGTCCTTGTATGAATGTGCATTCTTTGGGTATATGCCCAAGAGAGGAATTGCTGGATCTTGAGGTAGGCTGATTCCCATTTTCCTGAGAAACTGCCATATTGATTTCCAGAGTGGTTGTACAAGTTTGCACTCCTACCAGCAATGGAGGAGTGTTCGTCTTTCTTCACATCCTCTCCAGCATAGACTGTCATTGGTGTTATTGATTTTAGCCATTCTGACAAGAGTATCTCAAAATTACCAAACTGATCAAATTTTCCTTGTAATGGTATGAGGATGCTGGGTGACACCGAGCAATTTTGGACCGTGGACTGTGGTTGTAGGAAACAAGGCAATTCTAGAAAAGTGCCTGTGAATAAATCAGTTGGGCTGAGTGACCAAAGTCACAAGAACAGGAACACCAACCTCTCAGGGTCTCTCTCTTTCAGTTCTTTCATTTTCTTCTCCAGAACAGAACACATATTACTACTCATCTGCACTGTACAGCTTCTCCCTCCAGGGGGAGGCATTCACCACTCTACAATGAACATGGCTGACTTCTGGAATGTCCAGATGCTTGACAATCATATGGCTTTTCCCTCTCCACCCAGCTGTTTCTGCTCTCTCAGGCGGCTAGAATTCTACTACTGGAATAATGCCTGGAAAAACAGCGTGGAAAAGCCAGTTGAGGTTTTCCTCTGCTCCTGCCCCTAGGCTTTCTTTCACTGTCTCAAGTTAGAGCACTGGCTTTTTTGCTTGCTTGCTTGCTTGTTTGTTTTGCCTGCTTCTGCCTCTGCATGCACAACTTTTACTCTTGGTCTCTGCTCAATGCTCCTTCTCAGGCCTCTGGGTTTTTACTTTCAGTCCTGTGTCTCATTTGATTCAGAGAACTTAGAAATCCTGTATAGTTAGAATCAATTGTATCATGGGGCCGATGCACTGGGCAAGGATCTGGGAAGGAGACGTAGAGTTTCTGTGGACTCACTAGATATGCTGCCCCACAGTGTTGTGATGTGGTCACCAATCCAGAAGCTCCGGTCAAGCATGCATTTCAAGTGGTCATTGGTTTGGACTAAGTTCCTGCACTAAGCACCAATATACCAGACTAAAAAATCAAAATGGAGTTCTTCATGCTAAACTTCACATTCCCAAACTGAACCTAAGGTGCTTTCTGGCTTTCTAAGAAAAAGAAGTGAGAAATCACAACCAGTCCCAGGCAGTTGTGGTGATATATTATTTATGTTTTAATAAAGCCACTGGAGATCAAAATGCAAAGCTAGCCACAGCCGTAGAGCCAGGCAGTAGTGATACCTTTAATTCCACCAACCCATACTAGTTAGCTATAGAAGCTGGGCAGTGGTGGTACACACCTTTAATCCCAGGACTCAGGAGACAAAGGAAGATGGATCTCTGTGAGTTCAAGACCACCCAGGGTTATGTAGAGTGAATCATTCTAAAACAGAAACACTCACACAAAGCAGATCTCAGCACTTGGGATCCCAGCTCTAGAGAGGTATATAAGATAGAAGCAGGGCATTCAGAAGCAGGGCGATTAAGTCTCCAGTCACGTTGAAGTCAGGATTTCCCCAGCCCTGGTAGAGGTCAGAGGTCTTTCATAGCTTGGCTGCTTTGCTTTTCCAATCTTTGGCTTGAACCCCAATATCTGTCTCTGGGTTTTTATTATTTGTGTTACAATCCTCTTTTAATCAGCATGAGACCAAGTTCCTCTTCTTGGATAATTACAAAAAGGAACTGCTATTCCCCAATCAGTTTCTCAAGTT